ATGACGAGCTTGGCCATTGCGGGTGGTGTTGGTGCCGCGCTGGTGGCCGTTGGTGCCTACATGATGATTCCATCCAAGAAAAAGAAGAAGACCACGCGCGGCCTTCAGCGAGAGGAGGAAATGCCAATGGCACCTGAGCCAATTCCTTCGCCTGTGCTGATGGCACCTCCAGCACCTCTAGCAGTAACACAAATGCCCCAACCAATCCAGCAAGTCTACATGCCGCAGATGTACATGCATGGACTACAGGCACCACAGATTCCACAAATGGGGCAATATCACATGGTGGAGCCGGTAACCCAAATGGCCATGCCCATTGCAAGCTCTGAGCTGCCAACGTATCAGCCTATCTTGCCGAGGAATGAGTGAAGGGGTTCAATGCAACCCTGCTCAGTACGGTTTCAAAGTTTCGACCCCTCACTTGGGGAGGGTGCGGACCGCTTGAGAAAAATCTCGGTTTGCCAGCAGCAAGAGCCCTTGAGTATCTTGACTTGGAGCTTGGTTCTAATCCCTAGCACTTGCTTGCCACAAGGATGAGGGCGCCTTGTCCCCCAGCGATGACGATTGCTGTGGCCAGCTCGGTTTTTCAATGCTTGTGCTTTTGTTGCAAGCACACCTAAGACTGGGTGAATAACATTGAACAACTAAATATAATTGGATGGCCCTCCAACCCAAATAGCATGGCTGCCAGGTGAAGGTGTGTCTCAGGGTGTACCACGCATTGCTCTGGGTGACTTTGGAGAGTCTCGCATCATGGAGGCTCGGAGCCGACCAGCGCGTCTTGATCATTTTGGCAGTAGTCCTGATGTGTCATGCGGACAGTTTTGTTTAAAGCCCTTAACTAAGTAGGTGCCTACTGAATGGAGTAAGGGGCGGCTTCTAGGTAGGACGCAGGATAGCTCACGCTTCCTTGAGGAAGCGCTCAAGCGCTCGCACTAATGATTTGGTTCAACCTGGTTTTCTCCGCTTTGTTCATATTCTCGCTTGAGTTGCTTCTGAAGCAAGCCTGCTGTGTGGTGCAAGACAGCAGTGATGGCACTGCCATTGTCGTGAGCATACTTTCTGGCAAAGTCCAAGTTTAACGCTGAAGAAACTCAGTGCTTGCCTACTAATTGGACCCTTAATGATTTGGCGCCCAAGCACAAGGATTCCAATGTGCATTTCAAGGATTCAAGTTCTTTCAAAGATGTGCGTGCAGAAAGCAAAAGAACCAAATTAACCCAGCTGACAACCCCGATAGCAAAGCATCCACCAAGATCTGGCGCATTCTTTCTGCGTTGTTCGTTGCGTCGTTCTTTCATATCGATTATCGAGGAGAATTCTTTAGCACCAAAAAGTGAAATGCACTCCAATAGTTTATACAACATCCAAACTAAATGTATCTTCCATAAACCGCGAAGCACTTAAGGAATGTTTGCCGATGGTCGAATTGTATGTTCAAGTGCTTAAGTGTCTGCACATGGTGCATATGTCTGAAGAACCAATTCTACACAGCACAACAAAAGATTCGCACCAAAGAGAGGTGTGTATATATATATATATATTTTTGCATATGCGTGCAAGTTAAATTCTGACAAAGACTGAACGGAATACATATTAAATAGATGATAAGAAGATACAACAATATATTATCACCAAACCAGACAGAAAGTGCAGCTAAAGACGAACGCATACTTCATACATGAAACATACAATGAATGCAGTTGTGAGAGATACCATACTTCAAGTTCCGGCACCAGGGAACATACACTCTTGGACACGCACGTGCTTTGTTTTTACAAAGTACTGACAAAGCGCAGTGTTAACAAATGTTTGCCCATGGTCGAATTGTTTGTTCGAGCGCCTGCACAAAGCCCATACATCTCTATTCAATACACTACAACAACATAAGACTCGCACCAAGGAAGAAAGGCGTTTAAATATTTAGGCGCGCAATCCCTACTCGGACAGAAAAAAATGATATAAATTCATACAGACGACAGGAACCTATGATTATCACCAAAGGAAGAGGAACATTTATTGAAGGACAAAGGCATAATTTCTTTCTACGCCAAAGGTGCACTGAATGCAGCACGCAATTACTAGCCAGCTAAGACGTTTAAACGAAACCGAAACAAAGGATGCTCCTCTCAAGCGAAACATTTTGTTACATGTCGATGCATACTCTGTATATTAGGCGCGGCGACATGATGCTTAAGGGCCAGCACGCAATTTGCACCAGGTGTATGGACACGCACTCGCACGGTTCATACACGCACCAAGGTTGAGACCGAGACACAACCACAACATAAGCGAGACACACCTTCGCCACAAAAACGCTATACCAAAACAGCAAAATAGAGCAAAAACACAACGAAAACACAACCGGCACATCGGCCAAACATGACTGAGACACCGCGACACCGCCCAGGCTGGGGGCGCATCCGACGGTGCCCAGCCGCCTAGAGACTGTACAACCCTGTAGTGTCCTTGCTCCTAGTAGTAAGGCCAGGAGCCCCTAATGACTTCTTGTTACTAGTAGTACGGCCAGGAGCCCCTAGTAGCGTTCTTGCTCCTAGCAAGCTATCAATTATTGGGGAAACAACCAAATCTCCTGCCTGCCCCCACACAAGCGGATGTGAACGCATGACGGGTCATTGATATAGTGAGTCATGGTATAGTATATAGTATATAGTATATATGGACTCATTGAGTCAGAACCCCAAACTGTGGAGTGTGCTATGGCCTCACGAGAAACGACTTTCTGAAGCAGCTAGCAGCTAGCAGCTATGCTAAAACATCCTCAAGCCATTCCTCATCTAATGTCAAAACGTCGACTTGACCATTTTCACTAGAGAAAAGGATGTTCATGAATAGACTTGCCATCACAACTGGAATTCAGCCTTGCCTACAACGCAGCTCACAACCACGAGCTGTAGAGGGATCTATCTTGCGGTCCTGAGGGGCAAATCTTGAGATATCATGCAATGTCACGAGCCCCCAAGAAGGGCCAATACAAATGACACAGCATTCAAATCTCTGAGTGTCATCATGTGTCATCTACCTCAGACTCCGCAGCTTGCGTAAGATGAGTCAAGTTGACACTGGTGTATAACATGTATAACCACATCATACAGCATATGCTGTCACGCTGGTATTTTTTTGGGATGCAGATGTCACACTTGTGTCACAGCACCTCACAGTGCATGTGCTCCACGCTCCTCACAGAAGCACCATCAAAACGCCAGAATTCCCAAGAGCTGGACATGCGAAATCGGGGCACAGAGATCCTGAAGGTCTAGCGCTCAGAAGCGAGTCAATTCTTAGCGCTTTGCACACCGATTGACCCAAGTCCTTTTCGTTGCAAGTCTCAAGAGAACTCGAGAGGGGGAGAGAGTTGGAGATTTCTTTTGTTTCTTCGCTGTTCTTCCCTTAGACACTGTAGAATAGGTCTCTTTCTTGAGACACTTCGATGTGTGCGGCAAAGGCGCCAGAGATGTTGGAACTTGACTTTGCACGGTTCTTGGACTTTCTACACCTAAACTGAACGTCGTCGAGGAATGTCCTCACGTTTTCGCACAAAAAGGCGAAACGAAGATATTCATGAGATGATTTCGCTTTGTGTGATTCTGTTAAGACGAGGATTGCCTTAATGTGAATGTCCCAAAAGAATTCTAGTCGTAACAGGTGCATCGCTAGTAGTAACAGGTGCATCGCTACTAGTAACAGGTGCCTTACTAGTAGAAACAATAAGAATTTAATTGTAATTACTGGCAAAGGAATCGAAGCTAGTAGGAACAAGTGCATCGCTACTA